GGGGGGGTTGTCAGACAAATCAATTATAGTCTGTTTCATGCTTACCCCACAGGTAACTTACCTGTGTGAAAGTTACCTGTCTGACTTGAAGCTTTTCGTGTATGTGATATGTTAGGTATTTTTGGATATATATTTAATATTTTTAAAAAAATGTGGGGTATAAAACTGATAAAATAAGATAATAAATAAACACTTAAATTGTCTGTTTATCAAATATTTGGTTGTTAATTTAGCTTTTCTGTGTATGTGATATATTAGGTATATTTTGGATATATATTTTTTAAGTTTAAATTAAAAAAAAATGGGGAGTATGAAATTGATAAAATAAAATAATAAACACTAAATTGTCTGTTTATCAAATTTTAGGTTAATAATTTAAAATTCATTCATGCAATCATTACATACATGATGTACAATACATATTTAAGCATTGAACTGTTTTTGTATGGTATTTATGATCTATTTGAATGACACAACTTTGCAAGCAAACAACATAATGCCATTCAAATAGATCATAAATACAATACAAAAACAGTTCAATACTTATATTTACGTTTTCTCTGCCTCTTATGTTCTTTTTTAACTTATAATTTATATTTAAAAATTAAAATCCCCGCCTTATCGACAGTCGACACAAATTCGTTCAATAGTTGAAACAGCCTGTTGTCGCGTGCTAATTGGCAAACAAAGTAGTACACTTCAATTTTATTCCATAATTCAGTATCAATACAATTGCGTATGATATGTCTATAGGGTGATTTAAGTTTACCAATAGACTCGTAGATAGTAAGATTTGAAATTGTTTCGATTTTTCCACGGAAAAAAAATCGCGCATGGATAAATAAAGTGAACACCGTAAATCCGACCTTGCCCTCCACGAGGGAGTTATTTTTGGAATTAATTCAAACTTTTCTCTTTGCTCATTTTGTAAAGAATCCAGATGTGAATTTATTTGTTGGTTGTATGGGAATCTGACTACAGTCGGTAGATTCGATAACAGCCTCGTTATTTGACATGTCGTCAGAAACTGAGGAAACCGTGTCTGCGAGACGCGTGAAACTGATAGCGTTTGAAGTGAGTGATCTTGCGACGGAGCACAGGGGTTCGTTACAAATGTCTGAAATGTGTATGTGTCTGTAACATATGTGTCAGTAGGTCTGTAGAATATGTGTATTTCAGACATTTATAACGAACCCCTGTTGATCAGTGCAGTGTAACAGACGATATTTCTGATCAATTGCATGAGCGTTAAAATTATTTCCATTGCCGGCATTGGTGATTTCAACCGATGTGCATTTTGTACGATATTGCAGACGTTAGTCTTGTCTTTGTTGTAATAAAAGTACTTTTTATTTTATTTTTTATTTTGCATATAAATTTACAATTACATTGTCAAGTCTCACGATGCCCAGCGATATTTCAACAGCCGTCATGTTTATTTACATTGGATATCGTAGTTCCGGTCAGTGTTGTATTAATACGCTAAGAATTGTGTCTCGTGCTGCATGGTAATTAAAGTCCCATCAACGACACAGCTTTCAAGGAGGCTATATAGTGACAATGACATGCAAATGTAAATATATAACAATAACTAAATAGTATGAGTTTACAGTCAAATATATCAATACTTATTCATTACATTTCTTTTACATTATACTTTTAAGCCACCAAATACAAGACAAGCTAAAATATATACTTTAAGAGCTATGGCGGAAAACCGCCCATATTTTCCCCAAGTCGGCATTTATGAATACAGTAAAAACAAGAGGCCCACAGGGCCTGTATCGCTCACCTCATTCATTCATTCTTTATTACCTTAAATCTTGCGGTTTATCAGTACAGTGCATATAAACAGTGCAAATTATACAGTACATAAATATATATGTATACCTGAATATTTAAGCAGTCATAATAAAATATTCTCATTAAATATTATACTGTACTACAAATATTTCACTCGCAAACTTTGTCGACTCCATCAGTTGAAACTACCAGTTAAATATTATGATATGATTCTACGCTTTTTGGTTCTTCTTAAGAAGCTATTTGAAGTGTTTGATATATTTTCCCCTGTAAGTAGGTCAAGGTCATTTTCCTTCTCAAACTTTGTTGGCTCTATCCCAAGAAGCTACCAGCCAAATCTTATGAATCCATTCCTTTTGGTTCTTCAGAACAAATCGTTTAAAATATTGTTGTCCTCTGTGACCTTTAAAATTGGTTGAGGTTCTTTTCATTTGCAA